GTACAGGATAGTTGCTAATCTAGAAATGGATAGTTATAATTAACTTGGTAAAGGAATCATAATTGTACAACGGATCAATTGCCTCTTTTGCAAAATGTTGTCAAGTTCGTCCACTTATCTGACCTTGCATACTCCTTGGAGTCATTTTATTTTTCGGGTTCATGACGGGTAAGTCTAGTGAGTACCTTCTCGTACTCGGGTTTATTTTCCCATTATTGTGAGATGGCCTTTGTGTTTCATGGTTATTGCAAGAGTTGCTTCTATCCCATTGTGGATGAGGAGTAAGCCTTGGGCAGGCTTCTTTAGTAATTCCTATCCTTGCTTTTGTGGACCGTGATCTAGCTTGGCTTTGTATCAAACTATGTTGGAAACTTTATCTTGAACTTATTTGCTTCCGCTTTATTTATCAAACCCGGTTTGTAATAACTTTTATTCAGTACTACGATGATGAAAAGTATCTGTGAACTTTATGTAATATGTGGCATGTATGTTGAATCCTGTACGATCTTGGTTGTTGTAAATCGTTTATCGAGACCCGTCGTGGTACTCGACGGACTACTGGGTTTATATGGGTTCAAGTATGACAGTGCGACCGCTTGCGGATTGCCATTGTACTTGTATTCTTATAAATTGGTCGGTTCTGCGACAGTGGCTTGGTAAAGCCTTTTGTATCCTCTCTTGTATCCTTCATTATTCATATATTTTCGACATTTGCTATGACATTGTGCTTAATATTATTCATGTCCTTAGTTATCATGTTCATAGTTTGCTTTGATTATTTGCTTAGTATAGCTAGAATTATCATTATGTTTATGCATATGTTCGCTAAGCGCTCATTCTTAAGTACACGGGTGAGTGGTTGACATTGTGTAAGTGTGGTGCTTATACGTTGTTTACCTGTGGATGCACCCTACATTCCAGGCCATGTGGTAGATCGCGAGTGTGACATTCTTGTTGAGTCCTTTGTAGTCCACTACCCGAATGTAGGCCAAGTAGGACCTAGTTGCAAAGGAAGTCAGGCTCTGTTCTTGATCTTCCTTAGTTATGTCCCTTATATATAGATATGAAATTAATCCTTAGCCATGATTATTATGTGTAATTACACTAATCAATGTATGCTTTGACTTATAATTAAGAATAACATAGGAATTAGTTTCTCTATTGTGTCTACTTAGTCTTGCTATTGCTATCATAAGGAGTACTCTGTGTGTTCAATTATCATATATATCTCATTTTACCTCTTGATTTACCACTGCTTAGAGTAGATGGTTGGTCCATCATAAGTATAAGTTTTCAGTATATTTCCTTTACAAGTCCTTCCCTGAGGTAAAAATATAAATAATGATACCTAGAATACTCCCGGGTAAAGTTTTACAATGCTATATTATCTGTGTGTTTGCATAATTCTATATATATATTCTAAGTCATAATTAAATACCAAGTATACTTCTTAGTGTCATTACTAGTAGTGATGCTAGGAAGTACCAACACTAGGGCCTAAGCCCATGGAGTGGTGTTGCTCTTGCTCTTCTTCGGTGCTCTTCCCCTCTTGTGTGTTGTTCTCTTGGGGGGGGTCCCTCCTCCTTTTATAGGTGGTGGTTGGTCGGTTCCGAAGGGAATATTCTAGGAATCCACCCCGCACTGTCCTACAGAGCCTTTAATGCACCGCCTCACTAAATTTGGGCCTCAAGCGCGCCAGTAGGGGGGCGGCCTGAGGAGCTATCCTGGCCCAAGTTTCATCTGGTGGGCCTCTGGAGATGTGTGGACCACGCCTATAGAGTTTTACGCCAATTGGAGAAGGTTTGATTTAGGTTTGGGCCCTTTTTCTCCATATGACTGGGCCCTGATTTGCCTGGTAGTGGCCTTCTCCCCCTCGGGCTTGAGTAGAATTATATTTATCCTTTGTTCTTTAGCCTTTTATGTGTATGTCCACAAATCCGCTCCTGCAAATGGTAAATCACCAAAACTCGTGGAATTCGTTAGTTATAATCCCTATCACTAAGTTTGGTGTTTATTTGAGTGGTTTTTATGCGAGTGTGGTGGTTATATTTTGGTGTTAATGACCACCAACACACTGTGACCTGGCCAGTGTAAATCCTTGTGTCTCGTGTGCTACCATTTGATTCCGTCTACGCGATCACGTTGCTAGGCATTGCCAGAGCCAATTCATCCAACAAGGTGTTATCTAGATCTAAATCGGGCCTAACCCACTCTATATGCTAACATGGCATGTTGATTGTACATTAATGTCAACCGACATGTGGGGACCACATGTCAACTCCACATGTTCCTTGTCTCTTGCATGTGAAACCTATGTGTTAGTGGAATATATTTATATTATATTTTTTTCTTCTCCTTCCACGGTTATGCCTCCGCTGCCACCATACTAGCGAGTTGGGCGTGGCACCGTTGAAGATAGCCACGGCCATGATGATCCCACGAGGAACTAGCTGGACATGCCTACGACCACTGTCGCCGATGGATTGCCAACCCATGCCGAGCAAGCCAGGACACCCCGTGTGACGCAGTCACCACTGTTGCCTAGGTGTACGCAGGCACCATTGCCTCCATTTCTAGCCTTGGCCTCGGGCACAGCCTTCATCGGCCTAGAGGGCTATACTGCTGCCGTCCATAACCGTGCAGTCGAAGAAGCCAGCAACAAGGTGGACATATCCTCAGAGCCGAAGAGCAGGGTGCAAAACTCCTCGATGAAGAGAAGGAAGGCATAAGGAAGTGGTACATCCAAGCAAAGGAGAGGACATCCGTGGGGTCATCAGCCGAGAAGACAAGGAGGTCGGTGAGGACAAGTTGCAAGGCTGCGGCCACCGTAGCAGTGGAGCTCACAACAGCCTCCACGCCTAGGCCTCATCTGAACCCAACGGGTCAGGCTCCCCGGCGACCCCTCGACCATAGCTCGTTGTGCTGCTTCGTTGCTGCCGACATGGAAATTAGCAGGAATGGGGACATGTTGGTAGAAGGGCGCGTCCCCTAGGCACACTCGCTGCCATCTGTTGGTGCGTGCGTGCGTAGTGGCACTAGGGAGGGCTTGAGGAGCCACTGGGCTGAACGGCTGCCATGGACGTGGAAGGAAAGGGAGAGAGAAAAGTGAAGAAGAAAAGGCACGACCCTGGATGGGCATTCGATGCCAGACCATATAGAGTGAGTTAAGCCCACTTTGGACCTAGATAAGACTCAGAGCTAAGTTTAAGGATAAAAAAAATAGCATTTTAAGAGTATAGGAATCATATGGCACCTTATGCCAAGTTCAAGGACTGGCTGTGACTTTTTCCTCTTTATGTTCCTTATACAACCAGTGGCGGGCTGCATGCCTAGCGAGTACAATACATATTTATATATCTATATTTGTACTAATAATATAAAATAAAAAACAAAAAACGTACATGAGAACGAATGCTCTGCGACTCATTAGCACTAGGAAAGACCCGAAGGCCTTTCCAGGCTTGTTCCAGCCCACGCGGGCCACGTCTATGGGCACATGACACGCCCGGCCCTCAGCAACCGATCGAGAGGCCTGACGCTTGGCTTCCAAATTCCAATCCATCACGTGTCCATTCATCAGATAGAGATTTGGAGCAATGCAGCCATGGAGTCTCGCCACCGCCGTGCGCTGTATCGACTCTCTCAGATCGACTAATCTTCACAGGCATCCAGTTGCAAGTACATGACGTCATGACTAACTGTGATGGAGATCGTCGGATCGAGATTCGCCTAAGCAGCTCCGCTGTGATATGATGGCTGCGCCTGCACGACTAAAGTAGAGCTCGACGCTGGCCATCTTTGCTTTTCCCTTTTCTTCTTATATAGAAAAATCATGTCTATTTGCATTGCTAACATCATCAAGTCATTCCTCACACAGCGAGATCCGTGTTTCACCCAACATTGGAGACAATCAAGATTATTCAACAATTCACTATATATTATGTGATGATTTATGTAATCACATGTGAGAACTAAGGTTTAATCCATGCAAGTACAGTTTGTTTAATTGTTTGGCATTGTGTTTTTTAATAATTGTGTAGTTCTCAAGAGAAGTAGAGATATTGCATCTCTTTTTTTCACAAGCATGCAGCAAAGAAGGCAGTAGCTATTGCTACTACGGCAAATCCTTACAAAGTGTCAGACAAAAAAGTCAGTTAGTATTGTAAGTCTCCTAGTCTCTTTATGCCTATACTTTAAACTGTAAGTACGCATTTGAACTATTTATATTATAATTTGTGAATGTTTTCAATATAATCTTCAAATTTAGGAGTTATCGTTTTATTTGGTGCATATATACGGAATTACGTTGCAAATTTAAAGATCGTTACCGTATTACCAAATGGTTTTTACCGAATTGTATGCGAAAACTTTTTGATGGCATACCCTAAGATAAAATCATATATCCGCCACTACTTACAACAGAAGAAAAAACATCTATCAATGTTGTATTTATATTCATACAAAGTTAATAGAAAATATCATATTATTACCAATATTAACTTATATTATAAATTACAAATGTAATGGTCTTCATAAAATAAATTATTCCTTTTCAATTTTATAGAATGGGTAAAAAATAAATACATATGTAACATTCCCATTAACAGACCCGTTCGCTCATGATTGCTGCAGCAGCCAACAACCCCTCGCAACAGAACTGTAGCACCTATAAAAGTCAAGCCGCTGCAGCTGCTGTGGTTGTGTGCAGCAAGCTAAGCAAACATGTTGAACCATTGATAGTTTTTCTCCTGTTACAATGCACGGGTACGTTTGTTAAGGATCAATTAAAAACTGAACTTTGCATTATTTCTGAATCACATCTTAATTTGAAAAGGTATTAGTTTCGATTGCCGATTGGACACTCCAGATCAAGGGGATACTATACCTCTCTCCATCCATTTATACACCACTTCACAGATTACGTTACACAATGTCAATCATTCTGCATACTTTGTTATCTCGACACGTTAATAATAGAATACCTCTAACACCAGCACGTATCATCCGGCACGGAAGCTAGTGTTGGTGCCCCTGTTGCTTGGGCCCGGCGTATCGACGTCCACCGCTATGTCGGCCACCTCCTCAACGAGTTCGTAGTGCTTCGCCGTCGGATCGTACTGTTTCATGACCAGCACAGATGCTACCGTCGAGAATTCAGGTAGCGCCAGGTAAGTACCGACCGGCCCGAGCTCCGGGCAGTCCGTGCTCCAGTCAGCCAGCGGCATGCAGGGCGTGCCCTGCCCGACAAGGAACAGGTTGCACCGCCCTGTTGCCTTGATCGCTTCCACGACCTCCTCTTTCCCTCCCACTGGCTTATCTTCATAACGGACAGAATCGTTCCCGTTGGCCACCTTGGTGCGGAACTCTTCAAGGAACGCGTCGTCAGTGGAGCGGTCACTGGCGGTGGCACCGCCGGACTGTATCAAGAAGCGTAGCACATGGAGCCCGATGCCTGGGTGCTCGACCATGCGGATGCCATAGGCTAGGGCCTCACGGTCATCGCGGCCTCCGAAGAAGATGACAACGATGGTGTAGGACACATCGCTGGCAGCCACCTGAGCGGCACCTCCTAGCCCGCGGTCGACGAGGATGCCTACTGAGCAGGGCGCATGGTGGAGCACACGCTGGTTGATGTGCTGGTACTGGTCGCCAAGCGACTCCATGTGGCCGTCCATCTGGTGGAGCTTGTGGAAGGGGAGCACGATGAGCGCGGCTCGCTTCTGGTGCGCGCTGGTGACGACGTCCTCGTGGATCGTTTGCAGGTCGGAGATGGCTGTCATGGCCCGGATAGACACGCGGCTCAACTGCTGATACGTCTCGAAGGCGACAACGAGCTGGTCGCCGTCCCCGTCGCCGTTGCGTCGCTTGTTCCAGAATGGCATGCCATTTCGCCGCGCTTTGTGGACCATGGAGATGGCGGACGATCTCTCAGAGAGCTCGACGAGGTGCATGGCGTAGACGGTTATGCCACGCTTCCGAGTGCCGCGCGAGGACTCCATCAGGTTGATGATGGTGGGGATGTTGCGCGTGCTGTGGAAGCAAGCCATCATGCGGAACTCGTCGTGTGGGTTCGCGCGCTGGACGGCGCGGTTCTTGTACGCCGCCCCCCGCCGTGCTGGCTTGTAGATTGCCATGACCACCGGCGTCGTGATGAAGGTTGTTATGAGCGCCATTAGCACGAGGATGGCGAAAGTCTCGTCGTTAAGGACATGCCGGTCCTTGCCGATGTTGAGGACGATGAGCTCCACGAGCCCCTTGGTATTCATGAGGAACCCGAGCGTGAGCGCCTCACGGAACGGCACCCGGACGATGAGCGACACGATAACTGTGCCGCCGATCTTTCCTATGCACGCGGTGGCAACGACGAGGACGAGGAGCGCCCACGAGTCACCACCCTTGATGGTCATTACGTTTGTCTTGAGGCCGCTGGACACGAAGTAGAGCGGCAAGAACAGGCCAGATATGAGGTCCTCCACCTTCTCCAGGAGAACCCCGGCGAAGGCCCCGTCCTTAGGAAAGATGATGCCGACAATGAACGCGCCAAAGAGTGCGTGGATGCCAATGGTGTCGGTGGCGAACCCGGCGGCAAGCACGATGGCCAGAGTCGCGCATATGTAAAGCTCCTTCACTGGCTCACCTTCGGGGGATCGCCGTGCCATCCAGGTGAGGACAGGGCGGAGCAACAAGAACGCCGCAAGGACAAAGCCAGCTCCCGCTAGCAGCACCCACAACGAGACAAGAGGGGAGCCGCTGCCTGACAAAGCAATCGCGAGGGCTAGAAGTATCCACGCAACGACATCGTTGACGGCAGCAGCTGACATGGCCATGCGCCCGAGGTCGGTGGTGAGCAGTTTGAGCTCGGCGAGAATGCGTGCTAGCACCGGGAATGCCGTGATGGAGAGCGCGACACCCATGAAGACGAGGAACGGCCCCGTGGGCACACCGCGGGCAACGGTGTGCTGGAGGACAAAGGAGGTGCCGATGCCCATGATGAAAGGAAGGGAAATCCCGGCGACAGCGATGACGAGGGCCATGCTCCCAGTGCGGCGTATGGCGCGGAGGTCCAGTTCAAGGCCGACCAGGAAGAGGAAGTAGAGGAGGCCGATGTTGGCGAGGGTATCAAGAACCGTTAGGCTCTGCTTCGGGAACACGGTGTTGAGGAATGCGGTGCTGTGGCCCACCGCCGATGGGCCAAGAAGAATCCCGCCCTGATTAATTATTGTAGAATATTAATATTAATTATATATCTGGATTTTTGAAATCAAACAAGCCAAGCAATAATAACATTATTGGACGCGTCAAACAAACAACAGTACGTGGGCGGCAACAAGCACTCACGGTGATCTCTGCGATGACGCGCGGCTGCCGCAGCGGGCGGAGGATGAAGGCGAGCACGCGGGTCAGCACGACGACAATGCAAATTTGCAGGATGGCGAGCGGAAGTGCCGAGTGTAGCGGGTTCTCTCCCTGGAACACGCCGTCCGACGTTGCCTTCATTGGCTTCAACGCCTCCGCCGCCGCGTTGTCCATTGTCGTCCTAGGTGCGCGTCGCCCACCACGATCCCTCCCTCCCTTCCTCTCCTTTCCCTCCCCACCCGTCGTGCAGCCTATGACCAAGGGGGAAGGAGCGATGGATAGGAGGCCAAAGAGGGGTGGTAGACTGGTGGCGCTCCGCATGCACGTACCTATTTGTTGCAAGCTAGCTTAGTATTTTTAGGCATTGATGTAAATGATACTAATAACTAGGGGATGAAAGGGTTTGTAAACATTAAAAGACGTTCTGACTATAATTAAACCCGTTCAAACTTATAAGTTTTGACATATAAACACGTTACAGGTTGATCTATATATCTTGAATGATATGAAATGAGTTACTAATAGACCTATATATCATGAGTAACAATAGTGGTGACACTACATATTCCATCTTCTAGCATTAGGCTCTTTCATTGTCACAAATAAAGATAGCCATTCAACTTTTTAGCACCAGCTAGGCTGTCATTAATATGCACATTAACATTCATCCTCAATCGATCTCGACTAGCAGAACCTAAGTTGAGATGGGTCTAAGTCGCTCTAGCATCTGCTTTGTTGAAGGCATCCCACTAGCACAGAATCGGTTTTTCCTGATGCATGCGATTTCCTTCACGTGCAGTTCATAAAGAGAAGACGCTCATGCCCGTCTTATAGGGGGTTGGGAGTGCGATGGCCGGGGGCCCACGACGCAAGAGGGCCCTTGAGTATATGAGTATATATATGTACAATATTTCTATTTGGACTTAGCACAATTCGTCTAGGTATTCATCGATCAGCCCAGACATCTAGGTTTTACTCCATGACCCTTTGTCCCCACATGGTGCCTATGGCGCTTCGTATTCAGAACTTCGCGTGATTTGTTGCAGCCGTTGTCGTCGACTCTCGACATCTCATCTTTGTCTCCATCGGCAGCTGCCGCTGTGGCGCTGCGGAAAGTCGAAAAGGAACAGCCAAACAGAATGGAGACGGTAGGCGTGTCTTGATCAGGCATCAAGAGAGCAGCGATTAGGCCTGTAGGTATAACAGAACCACCTAATTTATAAGAGCACAAGTGAAATGGCAGCTGTCGAGACAGCCGCTCTCTCATACTTGAGCACATATATACCTGGTTATCCGTCGAGTATCACCAAGGATCTTGAATTAAGCCACATATAAACCAAGATCATACATAATTCAGCATCCACACATCATATATTACATAAAGTCCATAAGTAGTTCAACATACATCGGAGTTCAAATATAAGTTACAACACCAGATTCAAATTCAGTAGTGGAAGAAACATAGTTTTGAAACACATACACCACTTAGTTCAAGTACATGCCAGTTCCATAGATCATGTCCAACAAAAGCAATATAGATAAGCTAAGGTAGGGGAGCTGTGGCCACGGCTTACTCCTCGTCCATAGCTGGAGAGAAGCAGTTCTTGCAATAATAGCCGTGACATACCACACCATCTGTGTGACAGAACTGCCCAATTTATACAAGATCAAGTATGGCTATCCTCGCTAAACACGTTCGCATGCACACACTTTCACTTATATAAATCCGATAGTCCGCCGAGTGTCATGAAGGACCTCGGTAAATCCACATCACAACCAAGACCATAATAGATTAAGCAAATACACATCACATACATGGAGTTTGCAGCGGAAATAATATTACAATTGAGTTCACAAATAAATAATACATACTAAGTTCAAATCTAATTAGAAGAAACAACATGGCTTTAAAATGATTATAATAACATAAGTTGAAATACACTGCTAGCTCAAATGACATCCTCCAACAAAAGCATGTAGATGACAAATAAATACGGAGTCACCGAGTCCACCGACACTTAGTCACCACCTCCAGTAGGTTAGAACTTCACCTGCAACATGGTGGGATAAAACCTAGAGTACTAGAATATACTCAGCTAGACTTACTCGACAGGAGAGAAATACAAAGACTCTCAAGGATATGCAAGGCTTATTTGGTGGAGCTTATTGGATAGCATAACTTTGTAAAAGAGCATTACTATCATAAGTCGTTACTTTTAATATTTTATTCAATATTTTAGCATCAAGTTTAGTGAAGCTATTTAAGGATAAGTTTGCACTTGTGCTATAGCAATCACTTGATTAATAAGTATCACAGTAGTAACCATATCTAGTTTATCATATAATCAACATAACCATCATGTTCCAATAAATGTTACGACGAATGCTGGACAGTGAGCAAGTTTCCCACTATCCAGGAGAGAGGTGATTCAAATCGACTACAACCAGCTGGACACAAATCCAGAACACAAACCCAGGCATACTAGCACAACAGTAGCCTTAGGTCACATTTGGCACAATTCGGGAATACGCCATGGGTTTGAGCTTAGCCGCACACTTAGGGACCATCCGGAAGCCAGGATGTTCAGACAACGGTTTGCCCAAGGTCCATCTGTGTCCCCGCACATACATCCTCTCCTCCAATGTTCATGCCATACATCTCAAATTTCTAGCATGAATTGAGCTACTCGGCTTCATGATCGGAACGACTTATCCGACTAGCTAAGTGAAAGGCGGTGTTCAATCTCGACCAAGGTCCAACCGCGGTATGGTCCTTAACTGACACAGGCGGGATAAAACATGCACACAAGACCTTCATGTTCCGTTGCCTCTCAATCACCAGATCTCGACCAGTCTCGATTTATCTATCCTCACATGGTTATTTTCCACGATAGCAAATATAGCCAACCATGTCATGGTAGCCACCTATCTTGTAGGAGACATTAATCACCTGACTTCTACCAGTATAACCATGCCTAAGCATAGAACAACCTACTCATACTAGTAGGGGTACATGTATTTATATATCTGGTGGACAAGGTAGGTAATGCAACAATGATTTCATCCAACTCCTATCAACCTAATGCACAATACAAGATTATACTCAAGTGCATTTTAAAAGAGAAGGAAGGAGGCTTATAATGCTCCAGGGCTTGCTTGGGATCCGACACAAAGTCAGTTCAGTTAGCTTGCGTCGTCTTGGGGAACATCTCCACTCTAGGCATGCACTCCATGGTTCCTTCCGTCTTCAGGATAGGTCCACCAAGACCATCTTGGGATCCCCTCCAACATCACATGTGTTGGCATTTCTTAACATTGTTACTAAGATTTGTGTTTCCTAGCAATGCCGCCAAGAAATACCTTGATGATAGTTCTTAACGATTACAAAAAGAATCCGCAAGCACATGAAATTATCGTTGTAGCATTTCACCTAGAAGTATTTTAGGGTATCGTTAATTTATATTTTCCCAACAGAAGGCATAGTGTAAAAGATTCTAGCGGGGACATGGACAAGATAATGTGACTGTATACTAGACCAATAATCAATATAGGGGTAAGCCATGATGATTTCAAGATAGTGTGACACACATACCTGGGCCAACCTTAAGGATAAATGAGAAATAAAGAATAAAGAATGTTTCCTAACTGGAGCAGTCTTATCCTAATACAGTCATGCAATGAATAGTGAGTGATCGTAAAAATACATGGTTAGACCTAGACCTAAGTGTAAGATGGACGGTGATACCTCTGGGCACTGGTCTACCAGCAAGCCAGGGAGGCATTTATGAACTCCTATATGAATACCCGAACGTGAGGGATTATAAGGGAGGGATAGGGCTGTCACCACCTGTCGCCTACCCCTCAACCGAGTAGCCCTGCCACATTCAATGGTTCTAGTATACCCAAGGACCACGTCCATTGATGAGATCCTAACATATGGGTATGTTAAGTCTCAAGATCAGGGGTTCCCAACCGACGGACCCCCCGACGGACCCCTCCAAGATCGCCTAGGGGCGGGGGCTATACCCATCGGGTATGCTCACGTGCACTCATAGACCAAGTAATCAGGGCGAGCCCAGGCATGCCGCCACCTCTGCTTAGGGCTCGGCGCCTCTCCCAAGCCCCACGCTCCCGATCGACGAGAAGCTCGAGCCTGGTCCTTGGCTCTTGCCTGGCCTACGATGCTAGCCAAGGCCCGGGCACAAGAAGACACGCCCTGAGCCACCAAGGCTTGGGGGCTTCGCAGCACCGCCCCTTAGGCGCAGTTCTGTCAACCACACCCTAGACAGGGTCACAGACGGGGCATGACACAAGAAGACAAGTCCCTCCACGACCTCCAAGGGCTCAGGGTCTTCTGGAGCCGACCTCATTTGCCACCAAGAAGACTCCAGAAGGCGCAGATGGGGGAGGCCGGTCCAAGCCAACACAGCCTGACACTCAGTGTGTCAAAACAGGCCAGTCAGATGACACCCAAGGCTTCTTTAGCTCCATGATATCGCCACGGTCCATAGAGCGCTGCTGCAAGACCCTCCCAAACTACGGCACATGTAGACCATAGGCTCAACCCCCAAACCATCATGTACCCAACCTATCTCGGTATATAAGGGATAAGGTCAGACCTTAGAGAGAGGAGGATGATCCTAGATAGATCATTCCATTCCTCACCGATCTGCTCCTGCTCGGCACTGAGAGCAGAGCAACCCAGCGAGGGGCATCGAGAGCTCCTCCACCACACCCATCGTCTTCCTCCTTTCCGATGAGGGGAAGGCTCCACCGGTAGCGAGGCGACCTTAGGATTAGCACTGAACTAACCCCCTACCAAATCTCTCTCTTCCTCCTGTGCAACTATGTTGTAACCCCTGATTTTGGGTGCCCTTAAGTATAAGGATCATCAGCTGCTAGACGTAGGGCATCGATCGGCCTAAACCAGGATAAACCGTTGCATCTCCTCTGTGATTCTTGTGTTCATGAGTCTAGCTGAGCCACCGAAGACATGTACTCTGACATCAACTAGAACAACAATGCTTGCTGTGGTTTTGACCCTACGACAGCTGGCGTTCTATGTAGGGAGCAACGTCAAGTGCGATTCAGGCTCTATGGTGGCCGAAACCACAAGCCTCATCGCTGGTGCTAGCGGTACCACCCTAGACGACAGTGTCTGCTTCCCTGGTGAG